TGATTGAATTCTTAGTTGAATTAGTTATAGGTTTTATTTATATTTGGTGTAGTGATGCAAAGACTGGGACGGCAATCTTTAAGGATCCTTCAAATTCCTTTTGCCTTTGATCAACAATATCACAACACAGTGACAAGAGGATCGCCACGGGTCTTGCCTCCATTCGTGGTGTGTGTTTCGTTACCAAGTTTGATTAGAGCGTAAATCTTCCCACTCATGACCGCATTACTTCGTCAGAAAGACTAACGCAGCGTGGGAAATTGTACATGCTTATAATGAGCCTAATGTACCAAATAATTTAATCATCATGTTGATTCTTAAAAAGATGTGCTGCAGAATAGTATGCCTGTATCGTCTCGATTTTTGCCCTTGACCTGGTTAATGGTATTTCTTAAATAACATCCCTTACAGTAGTGAGTACTTCAAATATACGTTCTGAGTGGCTATTCTTGCTACAATTACAGTTAAACGCGTCGTCAACGTTGAATCGTTCATTTTGCTATTCGCATCGTGTATGGCACAAAAAAACTTCGACGAAGTGCCCATTCATAGAACGAGAAATGATGTATGGAGTGCAATATTTAGCACTTGCAGCATTTATGTAGTTGAAAACACAATTTTGGCATAGACTAGTGGCTTTGGCGTCAATTAAACCCATCATTGGGCATTTTCTGGTAATATTGGTCTGCGAGCATATTCCGCGAATATCGTGCCAAATTCGCTAATCATTGACGTGTCTTGGTCTCACCAAACATCTGAACATCTATAGTACAAATGACGCCGAGAAGGCACAGTTCGTCACTTGTTTATTCAAGATGAATGTCAAAAGTGTCAGGATAAGGCAGCTGATGCGGCCATCGAGACTTGACAGAGCTCAAATATGCGTTCCGTTCTGACCCTTCCCGATCAAGATCAACCATTTGAAGTTGTCGGTGACGCTTTGGCCTATGCAATAAGATGTACCCTTTTTTTTAAGCTGATGGAGATGGGAATGCATCACTATTTGCATATTGCTAATTAAAACCTACGGAGGAGAGCTACTTAGTTTACGACAAAGAACAACTCGCCATAAAGTATGCTCTCGTCACGTTCAGGGTACACCTGTTCGGCCTGTAGCCATGTACAATATAATATATACACATCCTACATCATCACACACGGCGACATCAACGCCACATTTATATAGTGACAGGAATTTTATCGCCTAGTATGCCTTTGGTGTAACACTCAAGCTTAGATTTCTCTTTGTGGACTTGCTTTCCTGTCGCCCATAATTTGAGTACTCACATATCACAACGGCGACGTTGCACATCGACAACACTTTCCGTGCACTGTGCAACTAGACACAGCATGTTTTTGCTATTGAAAGTATTGGAAGTAATCAGTTATTAAATATTTCGCTTTATCTAGCGTTTGAAAGCGCTTTCAACCCGATTTTTTGCCGCACCAATCAATCCACGGCTCATGCTTATGTAGCCATGACACACCCAGGATAAAGCCATGCTTGTCAATGTGTAGGACAAGAACGAATCCGAAAATTAGCCAATTGCCCGTAATAGCTTCTTGTTACGGTGTAGCCACACCATTATGTATTACCCTGACTTGTATAATCCACATCTTTGTACGGTCACACCATCTTGTATGACCTACCCCTGTATACCAGGGTTCATGTAACCCCGTTACATAGCCACACATCAGAAAAGAAAGACAGTGTTATCATGAAAAGTAGTAGAGTCAAAGTTTTCACTGTGCAAAGTGCACGACAACATTAATCTAGTCAGATTAAGGACTTTTTTGATCAATGCTTTGAAGTAAAATCCCATCCGGCGCTTTACAAGCGGCACAATAACCAAGGAAAGTCAGCATATATAATACAGCACCAATTTCACGTGCTGGTACGAGAAATTCCCTTTTTTTTAGTGATCGTGAGATTCATTGACTCAAAGAAATGGTTGTGCGTCGTCTAGTATATCATCAAACGTATAAATTCTCACCCCACACCTTTCAAACTGAATAGTATGAAAGAAAACAGTACAAGATCTCGGCACTAAATCCCCTCACTCTAGCGACTTTCCCACTCATTCCCCATGTGGTTGTTTGGAGCCATAAGTTTGGCCATTGCAACGCCATGTTTTCGCTCATGGCTTGAAACGTTATTTGCTGAACTAACAATTGTATTTTTTACTTATTTACATATTGTTTCACTTCTTCTTTTCCTTGTGCTTCTTCTAGCTCTTGCTTTTCATGGTCGTGAATATCTGACGAAATATGAATTTCCAATCACAACTTCGACCACATTTCGAACAACAAACTTTGCGTACATTCAATCGATTCGTAATCTTCGACTTGCGATGTTGCCAATTATCACAAGTGTTGTTGTATGTGGAGAATATGAAAATGTTCGTACACTTCAGAGTGATATGAATACTACAATGATGTTCTTTGAGGATGAAATGATACCATGTAGATATTCAATTGGATTGAATTGTCTTGATAATGTCACGAATCTTTCGATATTTGGAGATTTGAAACGAGAAAGAAATTCGTGTATTACATTTGATACAAAGGATGGAAGTCAAATAAATGAAAAGACAATGGATGTACAATATTTTCCTATTCAAGTTCATGAAGCATTTCAACAAGGTTATAACAATAAGTTTTCAACTTGGAATGAAACGATGCAGACACAATTTCAATTGGATTGTTCACTTTTATATTCTCAAACGATTATTAATGATCGAAATGAATTATTGTGTTGTACGGAGAAACAATTTGAACGTTTAAGTGCACAATTTCGTCATTATGAAGGAAATTGTACATCATGTATGGAAAATATACGAAATTTGTGGTGTCAAGTCACGTGCAATCCAAGTAACAGTTTATTTCTAGATGTGAATCAAGTGCGAGTTAATAAAGAAGAGTTGAAACCTCAAGATCAAGTGATTCCAACGATTGAAGAAATGACGTTTTATGTTGGTAAGAATATGGTACAGAATCTTTACGAATCATGTGAAGCAGATCCTGACTCAATGGAACGATTGTGTCCTTCCAATACACAAAATTGTACAACTTCTCACTTGTTTGAACAACTTGGTGCTTACAATTCAAATATCATCACATCATATGTAAATTTTAAAACAATGGAACAACTTACACCAAAAGAACAAGAGACAAGAATTTGTCATTGTGATCTTAACAATCCAAGTGATTGTATTGAACCATCTAATCTGTACTTTCAATCTTGTATTGGTTCATGCAATTCTTCATGTTCAAATGATCGACAAATATACGAACGAATTTGTTATCATGCAAACGATACATTGACTTCATTGAGTACAATAAATGAATTGAATCTAAGTGAGAAGATTCGAAAGTTTTCAACTGACATGTCAAGACGTCAGAGAAGTCGAAAGTTGAGAATTTGGCTATATATTATTGGATTTGTTACAATAATTTTATTCGTTGCTAGTCTCGTATATCTTCTTCATGATCACAAAACGACAGATTCTTCTACATTTCATGATTATGAAAGAATGGAATTGTTGTCAATACTTAAGTCAAATGAAGATCAACCAATTTCAAAGTGGGATGCATGGATTACACAGCAAATGAAACAATATGGCGATTTTATTGCTATGGGAAATCATCCTTTCTACATGATCTTTCTATCTGTATTCTTTCTTCTTGTGACAACAAGTGGTTTATTCTATCTAGAAATTGAACACAATCCATTAACATTGTATGTTTCTGAAAGTAGTAAAGATTATCAAGAATCGAATCGATTTCGTGAGAAATTTGGACCATTAGATCGAATTGAACGCTTGATATTTGTATCAAAAGATGGTGGTTCAATCACTCGCACAGCTTATTTAAAAGAAGCAATTCGATTACAACAAGTCATTGCATTTGAAATTACTTCAAACAATCAAACATTACAAGATTTCTGTATCCAAGATTCCCAATATTCAGGATGTCAAATCAATGCCATAACACAATATTTTCAAAACAAGATGGAACATTTTCAAATCTACGAAACCTACGATCTCGTTTACGAGCATTTTCAACATTGTGTCGATGCTCCAAATGAAGCTGATGTGAGAGTTTGTACTCAGTTGAAAGAGAATTTCAATGTTTCTTTACCAACGACCATGAACGACTGTCCGTGTGTATCATCTTTTGGTGAACCTATGACGAAATTTGAAGAATATGTAAGTTCTTCAAACATAACTTTTAACTCAATGGACAATGTTCAATTGTATCTTGAACAAGCAACAGCTTTACTTTCGACAATATCAATCAAGAATTTTAACAATCAAAGTGAGAATCACGATGCTATTTCATGGGAACGAACTTTTCTTACTCGAATGGAACTTGAAGCAAAAACAAATGATTTGTTTGATATTTACTATAGTGCAGAGATATCCGACAATGATGAATTTGTCGCTGCTTCAAATCTCAAGACAATTATGAAAATTTTTACTTTTCTTGTTATTGGAATGTTTTGTTATGTTCTTGTTGGTTTAAATGATTGGAAATTGAATGTTCATTGTTTTCAATTGTCGAAATTTGGAGTAGCTTTGATAGGAATTTGTTACATTTGGATGGGAGTATGTAGTACATTTGGTCTATTAGCTTGGATTGGAATGAAGATTCAACTTGTGACACTATTACTCATGCCATTTATAACATTTATCATTGAAATTGAAAATGTGTTTCTACTTGATCATACAATTCAAATCAAAGAACGAGAACTTGAAATTCAAGACTCGTCAATATTTCATCATATTGAAGAAAATGATTTTGGAATTCATGAAGTGACATGTGTCATATCATGTGAAGCTTTAGGTTTAATTGGACCAAGTTTTATGGTCTCACGTCTCTTTCAATGTTGTATCATGCTTGCTTTTATCTCTTCAACCATGCCAGCAATACAATGGTTAGCTATAACAATGTTATTGGCTCTCATCTCGACATTTACTTTAAAATTGACTTTTTTTCTCGCTTTTCTTGTTCTTTTCAAACGTCAAGGATTTCGTACACATCAACATGATTCGAATGTTCATTCAAGTTCAAAGATGTTTCAAAAGTATGTGAAGAAGTACGTAACTTTTCTTCTTCTTCGACGTATTAAATTATTGGTACTTGTTATATTTACAATATTCACAATAATTGCAATCATTACAATATCATGGTTACATTGTGGAATTTCACGCAATTCTTTTCATTTGTCAACTTCGTATTTGACAAAATTTCATCAAATAAATGACAAATTTTGGCCAAGAAAAGAAGAAACAAAGTTAATAATTGTGGAAACTGGTTATGGTATGAATCAAGTGAATGGATTTCAAAATTTAGCAAATGATGTGACAATTCAACGTCATTTTTGTACTTCGCAATTTTATTGCAATGAAAATTCCATTCCAAATCTTTTAAATGCACTCATTCAATCAAATTCAAGTTTCATTTCATTTTTTCCAAAAAATTCAATTGTCACATCTTGGCTTGATGAATTTTGGGAATTTTTAAATCCGGAAAGCGAATGTTGTCGTATTGATCCACAAAATCAGCTCATTGTACCAAATCGTACCATCAAGTCAGAACGTACCATCTCATCATGTTCAATCAATTCAACTCAAGTACCAGAAAATTCGTTCATGTCATTATTTCGAATGTTTCTCAATACAAAAGCTGAACCACAATGTACCTATGCTGGTGGAACACAGTACCATCATCAATTTAGTATTGATAACAAACCTCTTGTCGACATTTCTAACGTTTCTATTAGATTAAATGAGAAAACTTATGGCACTGACCTTACAGCATTTGCTTACAAGATTCCAAACATCATTTTAACAAATCAAGATGCTGTAGTAGCGTATGATCAAACTCAAGATCTTGCTCAATGGATCAGTAAAGAATCAGAGATTGATGTATGGATCTACTCCCCAAATTCTGTCTATTTCAGTCAATTTCACTCGTTTCATCGTTCAATTTCTATGATTTTTGGTATTGGAATACTATCAGTTTTTGGATTACAATTACTAACCCTTGGAATTTATGGAATTGCTGTTACTTTTATTGTATTTCTTACTATAATTCAAGTTACTGCTGTCTTGGTACCAATGAACATTCCCCTCAATTCACTTTCAATCTTCAGTCTCGCAATTGTCGCAATGTTTTCATTCAATTTTTCGACTCATTTTCTTCGTCTCTTTCTCAAAACTCGAACTGTTAGAAATCCTTCAATTTCTATTCCATCACCAGATTTTTGTATCAAGATCATTTTAACAAACTTATTGGCTTTATGGACACTTGGTGGATTGATTTTTCAACTTCTTGTTATCATTGCACTTCTATTTGGAAATGCACCTTTGTTTCTTGTATCGATCTTACGAATTCTTCTCGTTGGTTTAATGATCTCATGGTTAAATGGAATTATTCTCTTACCTGTAAGTCTCAGTATTGTTGTTAATGCTATTGAAAAGGTCAAGGAAGAGACTCCAACGTCATGGTACCACAGTGGACCACTTTCTAACATGTAATTGGTACAGTCATTTCTAAATATATTTTTTTCATATGGTACCACTGGTACATTATTGTACCCCTTGAAATAAGTCAAAACTCCTTCTTCCTTCAAACATCACGATGACTAGTACGTTAAGTCCTCATCATTTCAAGAGAAGTCTCAATCGTTATCATTTCCCAAGTAGTACCATTCGTACACCTCGTGTCTTTCCACATAATGTTCAAAGTGTACCACTTAGTCCATCACGTCTTGAAAGTCCCATGTTTCAAGAACGAGTTTCAACTTTAATGCAACAAGGCGACACATATGCTAAACAACTTGATACTGAACGTCGTCGATCTATTGATCTCACTACAGCAATTGAAACACTTGAATTGGAAGCTTTTCAAGCTCGAAAAACACTTTATGGTACCACAAATTCCCAACAGTGTACCGCAACAACGGAACTTAAGTCAATTGGTACACTTGAAAGTCGTCTTGATAAAGTTTTAATACGGTACAATGAAATGTGCCATTCAAATAAGGTACTTCGTACCCAAATTCAAACATTACGGCGTGAGAAAGTGCAATCTGATGGTGTATGTGCCAAATTGGAACGAGAGACAGTGCAAGTACGAGATGAATGTACCCAAGTGATACAAGCAACTCAAGCTGCAAGTGATGGACGAGATCGAGCTAATGAACAAAGTGAAACCTTACGATATCAAATCCATGAAGAAAATAATCATTTTGAATTGGAATGGTACGAAAAGACAAAGCAATTGACGGCAGATCGTAATTTAATGCGGGAATATCAACGAACAGCACGAGGTACCAGTCCAAGTGTACCACGAGGCAACGGATTAAAGTTGCTCACAACACCGGATTTAAAGTTGCGCGAGGAAACTCAACAACATGAAACATTGTTGCAGGCAAAAGCAACCGATTTGCAAGTGCAAAGTGATACTTTGCATACACTTCAGACAACATTGACAATTATTAAACAAAAAACTGGCGAATCAGATGCTCAAATTGTGGCAGCTGCACTTGTGGCGGCTGATGACAAAAGTTTTTCATTGTGTAATTTAATAAATGAATTGCATTTGGAAATGAAAGAATTGGAGAGTGAAGTGCAAAGATTAGAAATAGCAGTGGCGAATGCAACTCAAGAACATGCCACTGGATTGGCAGATGATGCAACAAGACACAGTCGAAAGCAACAAGTTGATGAGCAAATTGAAATGTCACGACAAAAAGTGATTCAACTTGAAAAAAGTCAAAAAGAAGGAGCTGAAACGTTAGAAATGATGCGAATTGGTGCTTTAGGACTATTTCACAAGTTGCAAGGACCAAATGATGATGCTTTGGCTAGTCAATTAGTCACACACGGTACTACAGATCTTAATATGACAAAATTACTTGGTGTTATTGAACAACGCATAGGTGAGTTAGTGGATATTCATAATATTGCAACAAATGCACCATTTGCAGCTTTAGGAGCCCAAAAACCTACTCAGAAAACAGAAGTGGCAAATTCTGGTGTTCATTCGACACGTTTGTCGCGAAATCATGAACGTCGTCGAAATGTTCAAATGAATGCATTGCGTCGTCCAACACCTCCAACAGTAGAAGATTTTGAAATGGATTTGGACGAACCACAAGACGATGTACGACCATGTCGAATTTCGGAAATTCACGAAACAATGACAGGACGATGTTTACGGAAATATCGAGCAAAGAAATAGAGAGATTTCACAACTTGTATCTTTTTATAAAGTTCTCTTTTTTATCCCGATTTGCTTGTACTTGTGTCGTGAATTCCAAATTTTGTAATTATATGGTCATAATAGTCAATAACATGATGAGTATATGCCCGTTTAAGTGCATAATCTCCCGACATAAATGAGCGTTTAAACCCAGTTAATAAAATTTGCCGCAGTTCATGTGGCGTTAGTTCAAAAGCATCACAAGCCAAACGTAACTCGGTTACCATATTCGTGTGTGACACAGTACAATTATCGGTACAGAGAGTTACAGCCACTTTACTTGTTAGCATCTCTCGCAATGGATGATTCCTTGCGTCATATTTCAGATCAGGTGTTGTCTGTAAATTACTTGAAAGACATACTTCCACACAAGTACGTGAATTACCAAGATACTGGACAAGATCATGACAATATCGTTTACGCTCATTTTCATCCAAATCAGGTTTTAATATTGTGTCATAACGAAACAAATGTAACCCATGGCCAATTCTTTCTGCATGTAAATCCGTAATTGCTTCAAAAATACTTTCAGGACCGTACCCCTCTCCTGCATGTACCGTTTTGTGCAAAAACTTTTTCTGTGCAAAAGCAAATGCTTCCATATGATCATGTGCTGGGTACCCTTTTTCAGCTCCTGCAAGATCTAATGCAACAATAGGTACCATATTTGCCATCTTTGTAGCATAAGCTTGCGTAATCAAAGCCATAGATGCAAGTCCATATAAACGATGTGGATCTTCATAAGAATGAATGTCACAAAATTCATGAAAATAGGGACTAAATGCTGCTGTAAAAAACCTCATGGCACAAACAATCATTCCGTATGCAAATGGAGGTGCGAAACCCGAAATCACCTCAAGATCCTTGGCATTAAATTCATCAGTGGCACGTTGCAAACCTTGATGGATACTACGCAACACTTGATCCAATGATAATTTGCCTGGAATAGCAAAAAGTTGCGGTGCAAATCGAGTTTCAAAGTATCGAACACCAATTTGATATTGATCACATGCCTGTTCATACGCAACACGCTCAAGTGCATCTTGAGTTCGTAGTACAGCTGTTGTATACGCAAAACAAACGAGATATTCTTCGAGAGAGGTATAGCGATCTTTAAACACTATCCGATTAAATTCATTTGCATCGTATGTTGGAAGTTTCACTCCTTGTTCAATTGCTAGATCAATGAGTGTCTGAGGACGCACAGATCCATCAAGATGACAATGTAAATCTGTCTTGGGAATACAACGTAAGAATTCGTCCGAGAACGTCTCATTCTTGGGATATTGTTGGAGCGACATTTTGATCCGATGCAAAGATTTCAGATTTTTGAATGTGGCAAATATGGCAAAAGTTTATTAAAATTGCATTTCTATTATCAAGTTGAAGAGGATGCAACCATCACGTGTGTCTAACAAGTGTCGCTCTCCATGTGAATCGATCGATTTAACTCCAGAACAAAAGCGTAATAAATGGACGCGTCTTATATTACGAGAATTATACGATCTTGGCTTTTGTGAAGCTGCTGCTGCTTTGGAACAAGAGGCATCTGTACAATTACGATCTTGTGGCATGAAAAAGTTGCAACATCTTGTGGCCACATGTCAATGGGATGAGGCTTTGCAACTAGTCACACAATCGGGGACTTTACACATGAAATCAACTCGTGCAACTCGTGAAGCAGCATTATTGTTACTTCAGCGAAAGTTTATTGAGTATTTATTGAACGATCAGCTTGCAGAAGCTCGTCGTACATTTCAAGATGAAATATTATCCACGTATCATCTAAATGAGACAGAAGTGAAGGAATTAGCAGAACTTTTGCTTTGTAGAGATGCCAAGGAGATGCATGAACGAGCGAGAAAACCATGGCACGATGATGAGTTGATAGTACAATTTGAAGCATTAGTGAGTCCAGAGGAAATGATACCCAAAGGAGCTCTTCGTGTACGTACAAAAAGGGGTTTCTATATAATAGTGCTACCATTTTTTTTATTTTCACTTTTTTTAGAAACTTGTACATGACGAGGAGTTGCACGTGCCACTTTCAAACTTACGGGGGAATGTTACTGGGTATTGCTTTGACACGTTAACGTGCCACACCGACGATGTGTGGGCACTTGCTTTTTCACCCGATGGACAAATATTAGCGTCGGCCTCTAAAAATGGATATGTCGTATTGTATGAAATTTCATCTCACACCAACTTACTGACTGTGACGGGAGAATCTATAAATGTCAAACGAGATACTACACATATAATTGAAAGCGTTGAAGGACCAATTGATTGCCTCGCATGGTCTTCTAATAGTCGTGTTTTACTTTTAAGTGGCACTCATTCGACTACAATTCAAGTTTGGAATCGCACGGTATGTTATTGTTATTGTGGTTACAATAAACAAATTCAAAATTAATACTTTTTCTTTGTGAATGAAATAGACGAAAAAATGTGAAAAAAGTCTTAACCATCCAATTGGGAACGTTTCGAGATTACAGTGGCTTCCAAATGGCGATTATTTTGTCAGTGGTAGTACCGATAAATTACTTGTTTTATGGGTACGTTGTGAAGTAGTGATAATGGAACATGATACAATGTCATCTTATTATTGAATGGGCAAAGAATAGAATGCTACGGATAATTCTGTCGTATACCAATGGAGTGGACGAAGAGTAGTGGACGTTGTCGTCCATCCACGAAATTCTAATGTGTTTGTGCTTCTTCCAGGCTTTGAACTTCGAGTTTACGATGTGACTCAAAAATCGGATCATTTGATACTTCAAACCAAACACGTTGTTTCGTGTCTTGTAATTTCTTCTTGTGGTCACTTTTTGCTCTTAAATTGTATCAAAGAAGAGCAAGTGATGTGTGTTGAGAGTACAACGGGACGTACACTCGCGACATTTCAGGGTATGCGAGAGCAACGTTACATTTTACGTCCATGTTTTATTGGGTTTCAACATGAACTTGTTGCTTCTGGAAGTGAAGGTATGTGTCATTTGGGAAGATGATGAGTTAGGAATCAATTCTTTTCATATTGTTGGATATGTAGATGGCAAAGTATTTGTGTGGGAACGAGAAAGTGGAAAACTTGCGATAACATTAGACGGACATTCTAGTGTCGTAAACGAAGTGGTATGCCATCCGATTCATACAAATGTGATTGCGACTGCAAGTGACGATAAAACCATTCGTTTATGGTCGCTTGAGTCCATGGAGTAAATAAAATGGTGTCGGTTGTACGTATAAGCTGGTAAAAATGTGAGATATAATGATTGATGTATAGTTTTCGAGAAGATTTAGTTTTAGGGAGTGAACTTTCGAAAAACAAATCTCATACTATTCTAAAAGATGTTACATATACGACAACAGCACCCGTTGAGATGCTAGTCTTGCCGATATTTTAACAAATCTATGTAGCAAAAGACGATCTTGAACAGGTCGAAGGTGTTGATAACCGTTGCTGGAAACAAGAACGAAACGTTGTAATCTTCAAACGGCTGGCAGCATCAAATGCACGGCTTCTTGATCTTTTGCTAGACGCTACTATTGATCCAAAGAGAAGACATACATGGTTAGATGTCGGCTGGTCAGAAATAGCAGAGCAAACTAGTTGCTCGTCGTAGAAGTGCAAGAACCTATTCTACAAGCATTTATTAACGTGGACTGTGATAATCAGAGCTTCCTCTTTGTAAAGCACAGCATCCCTTTGCACAAATAATGGTAACATCAAAAATATAGATGGTATTTCAATGTCGATTTCAGTCATCATATCGTAATTTTGGATAGCCAAAGCTAGTTACTTGATGTATATTAGAACTTTGTCATACGTTCGAGACACTACCAGGTTGATATAGGACATATCAACACCGTCACCATTCGTCAAACATTTATGTGGTCTACGATCATGATTGAGTAATTCATCTTTTTGACAAAGTAATTGATGCTGTCTATAGATATAACAACGTTATCAAGAAACAAATCGATAAAAATACTCAAGTTTTCGAAAATGCAGCGCAACGAGGTGGAGGCAGTGCTGACTTCTATTGGACTCGGATCTCCCGATGTATGGCACTCATTGAGTCAAGAACTTGCAGGAAAGACACATTTTGAGCAACCTCGCGTACCTAAAAAGGTTTTAGTGAAAGCATTACGTTTGCAGACAGAAGCCATACGTTATCTGGTCACTGAATTTGATCGAGTACATGACCAAATGGCAAATATGGAGCATAAGGCTCGTGAAACACTTCAACTCGTTAAACAAGTTGATTCTAAACTATTGACGGTTGAAAATCATGTTGAAGACGTAAATACAAAGGTAGAACATCTGGAATATGTCCATTCTAATCAAGTACAACAGGTGGAAGGATTTGATAGTGTAGCAGTTGAGATCCGAGCTACTCGTGAAGAGGTTCAAAATGTTGTCGCAAAAGTTGAAACTTTTCATGCTCTGCATAATGATTTTGTTGAACAGACGACGGAAAAATTAAGCGGAATGAAGGAAGAGCATGAAATGACAAAGCAATTTTTTGAAATGAAAGTTAAAGATCGTTCAAATGAAGAGGAACGCGAACTTTTTGTCACTTCGGATCATATCTTGCATCATAACATGTCGTTAGCAAATTGGATTGAAGCATTTGAAAAGGAGAATCATCGCAAAGATGTAGCTTTACGTGAATGCACCGATAAAATGACAAAACAGGGTCGAAATGTCCACGATATGATGCTTGAAACTCGACAAAAGTTAAATGATAATCTTTGTGCAGTTGAAGATGTTCAACGAGTATTGCTAGACAAAGCAGATCGCATTCGTATGGAGAAGATTATTGAGACAAAATATGAAGAAATGTGTAGTCAGTTGGATAAAGCGCTTACGAATGTACTTGAGGAGGAAGAAGAATATAAACGAGTGAGCCAAGAACTTCAGCAACTTGTAACGCACTTGAGCGAAAGCAAAGCCGATAAACAAGATTTGTTAGAAGTTAAAGTGCAAGTGCTTTATGATTCGCGTGTTCGTCAACAAGTTGAAAATCTTCGTTCTTTTATTGATCTTAAAATGAATCGCGACGATGTGTTTTCCGCTCTTAAGTCTAAAGCAGACAAGGATGAAATACTTGCTTTATTGAAAAATCTTTCAGAAAGTATGAACGCATCGATTCTTCAGGCACAAAAGTCTTTAAAACTCCCTGATAGCGCAATTTTTACTGGAAAACAAACGGGTTATCATGGAGGAAGAGAAGGCAATAATCGTCAAAAACGAACGGAAATGTTACCATGTCTCAATCGTGAAAAATGTCTGTCTTGTAACAGTCAACTTCGAGATTTGTCGACAACGTCTAATGGACCCATAAGTAACAAAAATCCCTTTCAATTGGCTTCTGTCTATGGTGGTGGCTTTCATCTTCCAATTGGTACAGGATCAGTTGAGAAATCTGCTGTGCGCAATCGATCTAATCTAAACAAGAATCATTATTCAGCCAGTGCTTCGTACCTATCGCCTCGAACAGTAGCCAATATGGCATCAAATGGACAGCTAGTTGAAAGTGCGAGCGAAGAGTACGATCGGTTGTAGTATTTAATTCACAATGTGCTTAAAACTAATCTCAATGACTCGTTTGCAGGTTCTTGGTCGGTGTAGATGGTCGCATTTATCAAGCAGATCCAGAAGTAGTTGCTCAAGTCAAAGCACGATCATATTCAAGCTTCAAACTTCCACAAGCTTCAGGTCCTCGAAAAGCGTTTCCTGTGTATGAAGAGAGTGATTGAAACCATTCAACTAGACATTTACTATCACCTTGTTCTGTTCTATTATTTTCAGAACATATCCATATCATCTAGCAACATTCCTTCTCCTTCCATTTTCATAGCTACTGACAGATCGCCATCGAGAGCCTCAATACCGTTGCAATCTTCACCAGTTGCGCCATTGATACTAGTAATTGACGAACCGTCTTTAGCTTCTATGGTGCTTTTCAGTGCATAGTATGTCAAGAGAGGAATTGAGTGGCACACACTTGCGAGCTTCTGCAATGTCGGGGTCTTTTCTAATGGAAGTGAAGGTGTTGTCTCTATCTGGTACTTGACACTGAGTTCTAGTGAACAATCTGGTGTGGTATTAACTTCAATCAACACTTGTTGATCGGCTCCAAATAGGTCTCCAGTATTCATAGTAATGCGTTCAGGTGCTGCTACGTCAACCTTGATCTGAGCTGTGATACCCACATTGTGAGTCCTTTTCATTCCAAATAATTTTCTCATGCGTACCGTGAATTGCATCGTCGTTGTCAGCAGGAATGCGTTGGCCAAACGTGTTGCTTTTTGAGCAAAACACCGATAACAAAAGCGCGTGAAAAAAAAGACTACGACCACAGACTTGCAAGACACTCGTTAGCGTCTCCATCGACGCATTCGCTAGCTGCAAAGCGGACAGATATTAGTACTACGCTAAGAATATTTCACATGTAGTTATCATGATACCGGAATAGGAAACGAGTGCAGTGTTAAACCTCCTGAAATTTCTTTTGTCGTCAACGTAAATTCTTGACGCATTGCCAAAGACGATCGAGGTGGAAAGACGTAGCAAATGCTGTGATCTTGCGCAAAATGAAGTCGCGGAAGAATCGGCTTTTTCCCGTCTGGTGTCGTCCAGCTTACAAATTCATTAAACAATTTTTCGTCTTCGTGTACATCTTTCGCTGCAACTTCCTGCTTCTGCATGACAACAAGCGCCAGTTTTCGAGCTTGTTGTCCAACCATCACAAGCGGAGCTTCTCCCACTACGTGAAGTGCCACTTGACCACGCCATTCGATAAAACTGATACTACCAGTCCACTCGCCAGTTGCGAGTGAAGCGAGAATGTCTGTTTGTGTTAATGATGAAGATTTAGAAACGTCATCGGAATCATCCACCATTCCATTGATTTCATCCATGGCATTTACATCTCCGGTGCCTAATGATGTGCTTGGAATACCGACGGGAGTAGTAGAAACGTGTACTTCGTCGAGTTTCACACGTTTCCGGGGTGGTTCAAGCACGGGAATGCAAGCAAATGGGTCTTTAAACACGATTCGTACACCCTCGACTGCGCGTTTAGCCGTCCAGTACTTCTATCACAACAAAACGTAATCAGATACCTCCATTAAAAAGATGTAATAGACTGTACAACCTGTTGGCTGCATGCATCCGTCACTTTAGCAAACAGGTCAAGCTCTAGTTGTTCAAAGTTTACTATGACGAGCAATCATTTCATTAGATCGTAAGTTGTTGAATCCATTCGTAACACTCGATCAAACTTACGCGCTGGAAATTTAACTGCAAGTTCCGCACGGTTAATAAGTCGATTGAGCTTCTCCTACATTTTTTTGACAATCAAAGATCTTCCAATCAATATCATAAGTCTTGGCGACAGAAACTGTTCGGTCTTGTTACCGTAAACGTTTTACTATCTCCATTCGCAAGTAATTTTAATGAGACTAGTAAATCTTCGTCTCGGTCGGGAAATTGGCTGGTTTGATCTACATTACCGCAAAATGACGATCACAATTGACAATTTTCGATATGTCTTCAAGCATTTGTACCTTTCTCTACAGTCGTTAGTGATGCTGACTCGACGGCACCCTAGTTTAATCAATCAGGTATCATATACAAAGTATTTGTAAAGTTATTACTATACCTCTCCTCCAGATAGCACAATGTCCAGCACAAATGTGTCACAATATACCGAGAGTGACGACTCATTCGGTTTAAGAATCTGGAGCTTGACAAGTGGGCGACTCAACTTGGACACAATTTTCGTGACCTCAAACATAACTTTATATGCACCTACACGACCTTCAAGCTCCGCGCCTCGCAATCCTGCTTCAAGATCTAATTTGCTAACACTCTCGGCCAAAATTGTTCGTAAAGTAGCTACATGGGATTCAAATCGCTTGACATCCTTGCGCAATTGAACGAATTGTTGATTTCGTCCGTACCAATCTTTGTGCTGCTTTAGTGTCTCAAAAAGGTAGTTAAGACCAAAGCGCCATGTGTTCTTTTCAGTTTGTAAACGTGTCTTTTGCTGTGATACTATATAAGAATGAGCCTCGATATCTTAATGTAGCAATGAGCTCTTGGGAAGACGTACAATGTTGCTGGAAAGCGGCGCTGTCGTTACGCAGATTATCCGGTAGCATTCCATCCAGGCACGACCGCAGGCTGCTGGCTACTGAGTGAAGATGTGGTGAATTCTTATTTGGTGTCGTATTGGTCCCGTTAGGCGCTGCCACAGATGCACCCGCAGGTGCCGTTGCTGACATTTTCGAGATACTGAGATTTGGGCATTAAGTGTGCGCCACATGATTTAAGGCATTATCAAAATATTAAAAAATTATCTTACCATGAAATTTCGACATGATGCTGGAGGAAGTTGCCAGGAAACCACGCCATTGGTATCGAATGTCCCTCAAAACTCCAAGTTTCTGTATCTACTCACACTTTGTTCTACACTTGGTGGATTTTTATTCGGCTACGATACGGTAAGCTACTAAGTTTACGTTTCGCTCTTGTCGAGATATATCTAAGTCATATCTAGGGAGTGATTTCCGGTGTTTTAGTGCTTCTTAAAGATCCTCAATCTTTTCACTTGACAAATTTTGAAAGTGAGACTGTCGTCTCTGCTGCAATTTTTGGAGCAATTTTAGGAGCTGCTTTAAGTAGCTGTGGCAACCACATTTTTGGTCGACGTCCTGTCATTTTGTTGTCATCCATTATGTTTGCAATAGGCTCCAGCTTCATGGCAGTAGCTACATCATTTATTGAGCTGCTTGTTGGAAGACTTATTGTGGGAATTGCTATTGGGTTTGCGTCAATGACGGTACCACTTTACATTGCAGAAGTGTCACCACCCAACATTCGCGGTCAATTAGTGTCGCTTAATACGGCACTTGTGACTGGAGGTCAATTCTTTGCAGGAGTTCTTGATGCGTTGCTTGCAGATGTACATGATGGATGGAGATATATGCTTGGATTAGCAGCAATTCCTGCACTTTTGCAATTTTGTGGATTTTTATTGCTGCCTGAAAGTCCGCGATATTTACTTAGTGAAGAAAGAAGGGATGATGCATTGAAAGCATTAAAACAGATTCGAGGTAATGATGAGATTCAGACCGAGATTGATCATATTGAGACTGAGCTTTTGCATGCTCGAGTGCAACGAGTGAATATCTGGGATGCTTTTCGCTCGCGTGGAGTACTTCGTGCACTTAGACTTGGATGTTTCTTACAGGCTCTTCAACAGCTCTGTGGAATCAATACAGTCATGTACTATGGGGCGTCGATTATTCAGCTTGCAGGCTTTACAAAACCAACAACAGCCATTTATCTTTCGATGCTCGTGTCTTTTAGTAACTTTATCTTCACCTTTGTGGGGATCCATCTCGTAGATCGCAAAGGTCGTCGGTTGCTCACGCTTGGAAGTTTAATTGGAATCTCGCTGTCGCTTCTAGCCCTAGGTGCAAGTTTTTACGCCGCAGAGTTGCAATCGATGAAAGCCGTTGGAATCGGCGAGTGCTCTCGTATTACAACCTGCTTAGATTGCATCACTAGTGCGAATTGCGGATTCTGTTCGGAAGGACAAGTTTCTCAAGTATCAGCATTAACGGATACTCTTTGCCTTCCAGGAACGCTTGCCGCACCTACTCAGGGAAGCTGTACTGAAACGAATTGGGCTTTTATATCGTGTCCATCTGAATCCCGTACAGCTGGATGGATAGTGTTAGTGACACTCTTTGTCTATCTGGCGTGCTTTGCGAGTGGGATGGGCTGTATGCCGTGGACCATCAATGCTGAAATTTACCCCCTCCATGTTCGAAATTTCGCTCTGAGCATTGCTACATCTGTCAATTGGCTCTTCAATCTTATTGTGTCGTTTACATTTCTCACAATTGTAGACACACTAAAGCCGTACGGTGCATTCTGGCTTTATGCATCATTTGCACTTATCGGATTAGTAATTTTGTGGAACGAGCTACCAGAAACGAAAGGGCTGAGACTCGATGAGATCCAGCGCATTTTTGATATGTCGAATCACATTAATATGCAAAACTAAGCCGCCTATCGGTCAATGATCAGATAACATCCCCGCATGGAAACACGAAATGTTTTGAAATGAAGCCGACTATTTTTACAATAGGTTCAAAGATTTGCAAAGGAATTTTCACTATCGAACCGACTCCGAAACAAATGTCAGATTAAAATGTAAGTAAGGCTAGAAATTTATTCTAGTACAAAACGATTATACTCCCTACAAATTTTTAGGTGTAACGTATCAGCAGCGATAGCCTCTAGAAATTCAGTGTTTGGTTGTGCGGCATGTGCGCAATTCATGTCTATCCTCAAAGAGGCTACCGTCTTACACAGACTCGATAGAATTTGCCGCGCACTTTGATCAAAAGAAGCTTTGACTTGGAGTCGAATAGAGAATGGCTCATCGGCTGCCACTAGGAGATAATTAGCACGTTTACTTACTCAAATTATAAACTGTTTATTGTGTCATCACTCCGTATACGTAATACTAATTATAATAGGTCACTTTACCAAGGCTTCGCTCTAAGTACGAGGAAACACCATAACCGCAATTCTCGCTGGCAAATGTTTAAGCTGCATATTACGCTCTTGAATTACGATTATGACTGATGGATGGACTTTAGAATGGATTTGAAAGATTATGGACCGAATTGAACCCGGCAGTTTTGGGTTCCTTAATATTAGTAATTGTAAAATTCGTATGCTGGAACATTTCACCAAAATGACCTTTCATCTACAGAATTAGATGGCATCGTCAACAATTTGGGACATAAACAACTGCATCTGTTCATTTCCAGTTTTCACCCCTTCTTTTGCCATCCATATGATATGTTCAGGGCAACATACAGATTCAACTTCCGGCGTTACGAATGCGGAATGCTTTCCATTTCACTTTTAAATTCACCAAAAGAAAGTCAAGGAAGTATCGCTACTTTGTCCCAGCATCAAAGACAGTTGACTGCAGCATCTACTTTCACCTTGATGGATCCTTCCCATCACACTGACTTTAAAATGCGGAGCCTTTCTTTCATTTGGTACGCTGCTATCATATGTTACGAGTCATTTTCTATCCCTAACTAATTTGTCGTCTTGAATATTCTAGGCGACGTATCCAGCTTCGATTGAGCGTCGACCATCACTGGACGAGGCGCCACGATGGACACATTCTATCCGTTTGTCGAACTCAACGTCGTTTTTTTCAGTCAAGAGATAATGTTAGCCGTATCGAGCAAATTCCGGTTGACTCAAGTACTCGGCTTCTGTCTCCGACCTCGCGCGACTTGCGACGCCTACGATTTTCGCTTTTGTGTAGTAATACTCGTTATTGCTTTCAGGCACCTCATGACGTTGCGTATGAAAAATGGCGCTTAACTATTGCTGCGGCTATTGGCGAAGCAGAAGAGATGGAGCAGAAGCTGCAAATGTCGAAGACATACTCTGTGGACGCACATAAAGACTATCATGTTGGCATCTACACACGGGATGCTTCAAACTACAAACTCATTCGACTGCATCCACCGAGGATCTAAAGTTGATATGATGTTTTCCAACAAGTTTCCAGATTTATCGCCCTGCTCAGCTCAACAATCTATCAAGAGCTACAACGCAAACATGCAAAAGGCCAAACATGCAACGTATTCAATCAAACGATCATGTCATGGTGTCATTGCCTCGTACGAATGTCAACGACTTACGACGAGGGAAATCAATTTTCCTAATTTGTCGGTGCTGTGACAACACCATTTGCTTAGCGAGTTTACAGCTCACGTGAGCTGCTGCAAAAATTGAGTACACGTATCAAAGGCACGAAATTCAGGAAAGCAGCATAGACTGCAATGGTCGAGCTTTTCAGCTCGAGTTGCAGTTTGTAGAAGTTAATATCGAGTACAGATTGAACTCGTTTCAAGTAAACGCTGATGTACAGCTTCCGAAGATCCAGTTGTTCTTGTGACTTTTTCACTATCAAGCATTGTTCTCCTGTTTGTTGGGAGATCTATGTAGGTCTGCCGTCATTTTATATAAGATTCTTTCCCGTCATCATCATCATATGTGAAGCCACGCTGAGCAACTAATCCGACGGAGACACCACGCAATACTCTGCTATCAACGACTCTACCTGTCCTTAAGGCCAGCACTGATACCACATGTTTGGTTCAAAATATGGCACTCGTCCTCGGCGTTAACAAGTGATGCTTCCGTAACGTAACCGAACCATCATAAAAAGCACAGCTGATTGTAATACCAACGATAAGCTGGCCGATGAGCGGATTGAAGAAACCGTTACAATCGCCAAGACACCAGCGCTGTTGTAAGGATACTATAATTGACGTCGGCTGCCTAATTGTCGTTCCCCTTAATCATAACAAACGAAAAAAGTCAAAAACATGTTGGTAGCAAACAGGCGTGATTGTAACCAAATCGAAGAGATAGTTTTATTAGATGCATTGGCAAAAGAACAATTGATCGTGGGAATAAGTGGTTACAGATCTGGAGAGTAGCACCAGAAGTAGGCTAACAACACCAGGGGATAATTATGGTAGTCATGATCGAATTCTTTGTTTGCTGCCAACATCACGAACAAAAACGATAACATAAACATCGAAACGTATATATTCCGCTCTGGCACTAAAATAAGCAATTGGCCATGCGACATCAGTAGCTGCACTTCTTCGAGAATCACGTCAAGTGTCTATTACATTTTTTTCATAAACAATCGACATCCAGTTGCCATCTCCTCGTGATTTGTTAAACAAGTTTTTGCGATTAGCTTATCGCTATTAGTGTCATGCTGCCTTTTCTTTCCGTTTCATTAGCGATCTCACTTGCAAAATAGCCACGTGAACAGTCTCCATTACAAAAAGGTCAAACTTTCAATGGCATCAACTCCACGCTACCCAAAACTAAGATCTCACACGGAGGATTCCATCGAATTATCTCCTTTGCTTCCAAAAGCTGACAATTTGCAGTTAACTAGCGGAAATTCGCTATATTTGTACTTACTTACACTTTGTTCTTCTCTTAGTGGATTCCTTTTCGGCTACGACACGGTAAGCTTATTACATTTTGTTTTCGAGAAAACAAATTATCATTTCTTGTTATTAGGGAGTTATTTCTAGTGCCTTGGTGTTACTTAAAGGTCCAAAAGTCTTTGATCTCACACATTTGCAAAGCGAAAGCATTGTATCTGCTGCAATCGGTAGTGCCATCGTTGGTGCAGCTTGTAGTAGTTGTGGAAATGAAATCTTTGGTCGACGTCGAGTGATTCTTTTTTCTTCGATTGTATTCTTTACTGGATCTATCCTTATGGCATCTGCTTATTCTTTCGAAAAATTACTTGCTGGACGGATTGTTATAGGTATCGCAGTTGGATATGCATCCGTGACTGTGCCATTGTACATCGCTGAAGTTGCACCGTCAAACATTCGCGGTCAGCTCGTCACATTAAACAATGCGTGTATAACTGGTGGACAGTTTTTCGCATATGTTGTAAATGCCCTTCTTGTTGATGTTGCGCAAGGATGGCGTTTCATGCTTGGATTGGCAGCACTCCCTGCATTAGTGCAATTTTTCGGGTTTCTGATGCTGCCAGAGACTCCTCGTTATCTCATGACTAAAAGACGGAAAGATGAAGCTTGGAATGCTTTAAGTAAAATTCGAGGTACAATGGATGTGGCAGTGGAATTTCGATCCGTGGAAGACGAAGTTGAACGCGATCGTTATGAAGATATTGGTCTATGGGACGAATTGAAGACCCCGTCAGTCATTCGTGCTTTGAAACTCGGGTGTTTTATCCAAGCACTTGCTCAGCTCTGTGGAATAAACACAGTCATGTACTATGGTACCACAATCATTCAAATGGCTGGATTTTCAGCTCCTAGCACTGCTATTTGGCTTTCTGCACTCGTTTCTTTCAGCAACTTCATTTTTAATTTTGTTGGCATTTACCTCGTAGACCGTTCTGGACGTCGTCTTTTGACTCTTGGGAGTTTGGCTGGAGTCTTTTTCTCGTTAGTTACTCTTGGCGGGCGCTTTTATATAGCAGAATGGCAATCAACGCCTGTGATGGGAGCTGGAAAATGTTCAACATTTTCGACGTGCTTTGACTGTGTTGCCAGTACTTCTTGTGGATTCTGCTTAGAAGGATCGATGAATCCAATATTCACTGCTACTGAGCCAACAAATATTAATCTGTGCATGCCTGGCAATTCAGTGTCAACCCTACAAGGATCGTGTTCTAGTTCAAATTGGTCCTACCATTCTTGTCCGATGGACAGTGAAGCTTCTAGGTGGATTAGCTTGGCCGTACTGTTTGTCTATATGGCATTCTTTGCATGTGGGATGGGTTGCATGCCCTGGACAATTAATGCTGAGATCTATCCGCCCCGTGTTCGGAGTTTTGCTGTCAGCATGGCGACGTCTGTTTGCTGGCTTACTAATCTACTTGTGTCATTTACGTTCTTGTCAATTATGGATGTTTTGTCAGTATACGGTGCTTTCTGGCTTTACGCTTCCATTGCATTGTTTGGATTTATATATCTCTGGAAAGAATTACCAGAAACAAAAGGTTTGGAACTCGAGGAAATTCAGCACATTTTTGAACAATGTGATAAGCGCTCGAGTTCCGTGGTCCCGACCGGCGATAGTGTATACATTGGTGAGTAATTGTAGCATAGCGATTTTGGCTCTATTCTGGAATTTGAAGTTCGAGAGACAGAACAATAACACAAAGAAGAATGAGCAATTCGCAAGATTTGATAGAGTGGCGATGTGAACAATTTCAACAACACTTACTCAAACTCATATTGGATTCAGCACTAGCAATGACATCATGATAATTAAATGGAAAGATTGTTGTTGCAGTCACGCATTCCGCCATTACGATGCGGGGATAAGGTATCATGATAGAAACTAAAGTATCACTAGAGAGTAATCACTATCGTTTTATTGAAAATGGCTTGCCTGCTTAAGTGAGGCTTCTTACCGCTGACATCAATAAATACATCAATTCTCAAACATGTGCTCAGATGAAACGAGTAACCTACGTTGTGAATGAAATTAGGCGGGGAGATTTGGAGTAAATTGCCCATCCTCATTGAATGTACTCTGAACAACACAGTACATTCCTTCACAGGCTTTACTCCAATTTATATGAATTCTTGGTGGACCGCGTGTATCGTTATCACCTTCACAAAATGGCCCCGGACGTTGTAGAGCGATCAAAATAAACTTGCTGATGTCAGCCCGGCAAAACATCGTAGCCATTTTATCTTGATGAGTTGAGCGTCATACGAAAGGTGCGCGATGCAATGGCTAAGTGTTAAGTCAAACAAAAGCAACAAGTGTAACGGAAATTGCCCGTCCGTATACACGCACTTACTGAGGAAGACTTTAATCGGTAAACACGGTTCACCGCGTGTTGCTCACTTCCAGCGAGCCGTTGATTTACACGAATGAGGAGGATAAGGTGAAGTAATACTTCTTATGGCCAATAGGCCTTAAACCATCCCTAGACTGATACGTGCCTTCAATCTATTAAAATAGAATTGAGGGATATACAACTACGCAAGATATATACAGAAATCGTATGTATGTAGTTCGCACAACATGTGTAATGAGACTGACCCCATGACACCACCCCCGTTTCACCATATCTTCTTCAAACTTTCTCCGACTCTGAGACTCGGTCGTTCGTGATTCCACACGAAATGAAACGCATCGAAGACGTCTTGCGCCAGCGACGAGCGCAGAGCAAAACCGCACCTCAATCCGAGGATGAGAAGGCACTTTCACCATCATCGAACTTGGATGTGGCTCCAGTTTCACGTCGAACAGCGCTATCGCACGTTGAGCAAAATCATACGACCAGCTCAGGCGGAAGACGACTGTTATGATGCCATTTGACGAGTTCATTTGTCCAGTGTATTTGCGCTACCTTGAGATTGAACGTCGTCACGAAGTTTGCGACTGGTGGTGCCAGCTTAGAGTCCGGCATACTCTTTAGTCGAATATTAGCTCGAGTAATGACTCAAACCGCGTGTTTCTGCGCCATCGGTCCGATTACATGTGCTAGAGGAGAGCCACAAAATCTCATGTACATCCAGCAATCTTATTTGGATTCCGTCCAGACAATCGACACTCGATTCTGGGCATGAGTTCGTGCAGCCAAATTCGCGAGTGTCCACCATTGGCTTACTGCTGCATATTTGCTGAGTGATTTGCGCTTTCTATTTGCCCATATAACAGCAGTGGATCGGGTTCACTCCGATATCAAAGATGCTCACAAAGTACGTGCGGTCATTAGTCGAATTCACGACGAGAGGGAGCGAGGGACGAGAGTAGACCATAACTCTAAGCGAAGTCCGTATTTAGACCTGCGTCGAAAGCGAGGACAATATCGTACAGTCGCGCAGTCGCGAAGAATACGATTATGAGGCTCTCATGTATTCTCGTTCGCTGGATAACCTAGCCATTTCACCAAGAGCTCCTTCCGACTGCGGACATTCCTCTCCGCCACAATATTCTCGACATGGTTGTTTCGATTTCCTTGTCGATCAAGAAGAGGGAAAGGCCCGAAGAGGACGTACCCTCTGCTTTTTCTGTGGCTACTCCACATTTCGCCGTCTGATTTGGAATTGCGATTGGCGAATGTTGAGAAACACCTTGTGCTGGTGGGCCGGCAGATGATCGAGGTGTTTGGTCGGGTGTCGAGAACGCGACGACGTATGAAGGATACTCGACGGGTCGTCTGCGAAGTTCGCGATATCACATGGCATCATGAGAACTCGCCTGGGAATACAATCAAGAAGCGGATTCGGCAATTGAAGCAGGCTCTGCAAATTTTCCCTCCAGCTGCGGCTGCTGCCGCTAATGATGCGAAGCCTCCTGCCAAGCGTCCTCGCTCTGGTTCGGGGGAATATATGCTTCTCGTAGTAAGTGCCATTGCGTTCAGTAGCCATCTGATTCTCGTCGACCTACCGACTCTCGCGATCGTATCTATGGTTCCGAAGTTCACGATGATCCTCGTTGTTGTGAGGATGATGCTGAGGCGACGACGCCAAGGGGCATGACTTTTGACCCTCGTGCTGAAGCTGTGGCTTTGCAGCCGTATTTGTATAACCCTGCCTTACATCTAGGTTGAAGTTGCGTCGTCGCTGTGATAGGGCTTGAAGTGCCCTACGTGGAACGTTGGATAGGTCCCTAACCAGCTTGGCAGGTCGATAGAGTAAACATTTCCATTGTATGACATTACTCTGATTGGACCGATGAAGCGAGGTATTAGCTTCAACCTTCCCAAGCGCAAGACCGCATCGTCGGATAAGTTATTAGTACTAAGAAGTACATAATCCCCGACATTAAATTGCATTTCGCCTCGACAATCCCGTTTATGTGCATAGGCTTTTGGTAAATCTGGTGCATTCGCACACGTCGTGATCACATCCACACGACTCATGATGATTGGGCCCACGGCGTCCTTGTACTTGCGCCTCACAATCGCACCATTGATTGTATCAATTTGAGCGACAACGACTTGCCGAGCCCCCCAACTTACATCACAAACACCACCCTTTGCACGAAGCGGTGATTGTGTGTGTCACAAGCCATTCATAAAAATGGCGCGGATATATTGGATAGATAAATTAGATTGTTCATAGTAAGCTCTACTAATGGTAACAGCGAGCTCCATTCTGCGAGGGATTCCGCGCAGAATCTTCTCAAAACATCACCGACCACTCTGTTTTACGTTCTGTTTGCCCATCGGTCTCCAGTTGTAACGCCGTGGAGATATCCAAGCAAACCCAAAAAGTATTCGAAACATTTTCTCCAAAAGCCACTCGTGAATCGTGTATCACAAACAGACACGATGGCTCTAGCAACCCGAAAAACGAGATCAATGAATAACCTAGCCAAATTTTAGGCCTCGATGTAATCGCTACATAAAGTGATGCGAACCATATTGCTGAGACTGTCGACGACGACTAGCACTTACATTGTGATCGTCATCATTCTCGGGGAAGTCAAAAATAAAGTCGAGATTGACTGACTTTGAAAGTCAGTAGGGACAGGGAGATCATGCAGTGACATATGCGTGTGCCGTGCGCTCTTCACGCGCTGACAGTTATCGCATGTCTTCACGTATCGTGCACCCACTTGTACATGTCAGGCCACCAAAATTGTGCACTGAAAGAAAAGTATGTCTTTTCACGGCCTAAGTGACCCGCCATCGGCGTATCCTGCGCCTCGTATACGATCTTGTGCTTCATATTATTGTTGTGGGGAGTGGCTCTCGCCATGCGTAACTTCCTAGTGAAGATGGCCATTCTTCAATGCATAACGGCGCCTCCGTGATGTCAAGCGATCTGGAAGCTTGTCATGAAATCCTTATTACTCGATGAGGGTGCCTTGATGATCAGATCACACTGTTCATCCTCAACACAAGCTCGACGTATCACATTGAATTCATCGTTTTCGACATAGCTAGTTTCGGCTAGCTCATGATCCAGACGACATGATAATGCGTCAGCCAGCACGTTCAGCTTTCCCGGCTTATACGCAACCGTGAAGTTGTATTCTGCGAGAGTAACGGCCAGCAAGCCATCCGCTGGGACAAGTGAAGAGACTGAACTGCATATCGCAAGCTTGCGTAATCTGAGTTGTCAACATACGGAGGTAAACCCAAGGAGTGAGCATGAAACTTTACCAGAGCATGCAATAGCTCCTTATCGAGAACAGGGTAGTTTTTCTGCTGGTTTCAGCTGTCGCGATCAAAAGGATACGACACGATCGTGTCCATTTGAGTCCTTTTGCAATAGTGTACAGCTGATTGCAAACTCAGAAGCGTCACTCACCATCCTATAGGGCTTCGCATCATCGGGTAAAGCAAGAAATGGCGCTACCATCAAACTGCTTTTGACCTGAGTGAACTCATCTTCACAAGTGGCTGACCACTCCCTTGCCACGTCCTTTTTCATCAAGGTTGATAGTGGGCGTACCATTTCCGCTAAGTTTAGCTGAAAGCGATGCAGGTGATTGGATAAATCCATTTCCTCAAATCCTTTTGACTCCGTGGCATCGCCCACTCTACGATTGGTTTGACCTTCTCAGGGTCTACATAACACCGTGCTCACCAACATAACAACCAAGGACCGGAACTTTGTTAGCACCGAAAATATATTTCGCAAGATTCGCTTGCAACGAATATCCGCGCGTACATTCCAGCACCGTTCGTAGGTGCTCCAAGTGCTATTCTTCGGCAAGTCTGCCATTTTCGTTCTTCAAATGAACGAAAATATCATTAAAATATGTTTGTGCGAAGCGTCGCAACGTTGCTGCGGCATTGGATAGTCCCTGTGGTATCACAAGCCACTCCCATAACATATCAGACGATGTACTAACAGTTGTCAAAGGGACGTCCTCCTTCCACACCAAGATTTGGTAGTATCCGTCAATCAAATCTAGAGCACTAAACTGTGTACAGCCGGACATACGGTGGATGATGACAGCCTTACGCGAAATCGGCGTTTGAGCGGGAATAGTCTGCGCATTCAACTTGTTATAGGCGTGAGCGATACGCCTTGTACCATTTGGTTTGCGCACGCAGAACATCGGCGCGCACTTGCTATCCCTCACAAAACCAGCAGCTTGCTTTTGAGCAATAATATCATCGATAAACTCACTTTGATCACGTGACAGTGGTAACTGACGAAGCACTACATGCTTTGAACTAGGTTTACGATCATTTTCGTGTCGAGCTTCACGCTCGGGTGGGAGACCAGAAGACGGCTTCGCACTAAGGACATCATCCTTGTATTTAATGACAAGTAAATATTAGAGCTAAGTTGGTTTATTCAAAACACCCAATCTTCTGCATGAATCCGCATGCTGTCGAATTTCGTCAACAACTGAGTCATCCGTGACTGAAGCTGAAAGTAGCTTAGCAATACGACCTCTTCAATACCATCACACTTGAGGTCTTGTAGTTGGTCATCGTAAGTGACTGCCTCAAGCCTTTCCAGCTCTTCCATCGTCGGTAATGGTGCCAAAAGGATATTTGTTCTGGTAAGTTCACAACCAGCCGTTGCACCCACAATACGTGAGCCAGTATAATCGCATGCTACAGTTCTATCATGGGGAGTCATACGCTGGACAAATCACCCGCGGACTTAATCGCTTTCAGTTTAAGAGTATCAGTCCTGCGATCAGCAAATCTCGTTGATTCCTTCACATGCGTGTGCTCGACCACACAACCGGTGGAAGCATCACCTCTGTGCTCAGTTATACCCAATGACCCACAATCCGACTCGACCACTGTATTAGTGGGAGTAGTGCATGGCATATAAAGCCGAAGTCGATTTCTTCGACTTTCCAGTACACACATGACGACAGCATTCTTCCATCTTGAGGGGGACAACACCGCCATCTCTCCCTCATAAATGCTTGTTGGGCAAATCGCTATGCCCACTCACGTTTCATTCGTTTTCAAGAGGCCACTTCCGGGCACCACTTGATCTATCGACACACTTCCTTAGTGACCACCAGTGGTCACTCCATACGACTTTGTATCTTCCGCTACCTGAGGAATGTCAATTGCAGGACATATATCAATGAAGTGTGAATCATTAACAGCAGCACACGACTACCGAGCACTTGAACTTTTCTTACGGTGCATAAGAAATGCGGGCTTATTAATTTCAAGGGTTTCTCCCCGACGCCAGCAAGGATACTCTGTATCGTTTTCGATTGCCAATGAATCCACGGCTCATGCTTTTCAAGCCACGGTAGACCTACAATCAGGTCATGCCGTTTGCTCATCTCGAGGGATGTGAATACTTTATTCGAGTTATAGTCTTCAAACTTCAGTTGAAGATCAACCATAATGTTCTTCGAGGTGACCACCGCTCCAGTGGGCAACTTCACTGAGATAAAGCCAATGCTTCTATCTAGTCTATCCGAAAGCACTGAACAATTTTCAGTTGCATTTTGCTTCCACGCGTTATTTCGCGACACGCCAGAGTTAATCAAGACTCCAAACGGACGACCACCACCTTTCACATTCGCTGCGACCACGAGGAGACCACTTTGACTCGTGTCGTTAACGAAGAACAACAATCCTTTGTAGGCCAAACCTTGTGAGTGATTCGACCACCAGTTTATATATACCCCAATGGACCGCGCTGCGTTTACTGGGAACCTGCGCTTCCCGAACGCCCCGTGATTATGGTATCACGTGGCTCGGATCACTATGACGAGAACCGTGTTGAGAGGTACGATTCGCGCGTGGGTAATCACGGCGAATGTGACCAGATTCCTGACATCCATATCAGCGAATTTGCTGTCTACGGAGAGTCAACGCGCCAGGATTCATTGATTTTGGATTTGTAGCAGTAGCAGTCATTGCTTCCATCGGATTGACTGATTGACCACGTGCTTGACGGTGGGAGAGTCCTTACGCAATGTAATCATAATTGCATCTTCCAGAGTCGTCAGACTCTAGCAGAAGGCTTCAGTCTTGGGAGGGTCGTAAGTGATCTCTCCATAACCACATTGATCATCACTGCCTCTGACAGTGGATCGCTTGTTATACTGCTTCGACGCTCACGGAGCTTCTGTATATAGTCATAAACTGGGCTTTTGCCTTGACGGCATGACCAAACCTTCAACTGTTGTTGTAATGCCAAATTCGGCGGAAGAAACATCGATTTCATGGCTTTTTCAGCTCTTGTCATGTGTCAAAGTAATTGTGGCGGTTAAATGCTCATGTCATCCTTCAATCTTTCGCACGGCCATCCAAATGCAATGCCATCGCGATAGTGATGTCCATTCCTCGCTGCCAAACTGCGAGATTTCATCTTTGTTTTCGTGAAAGCTTCTCACCTTGATTTTCACGGGACGTTCCGTGTACTGACGGTGTTACCACCACTTGTGGTAGAGGTTACGGAGCTGGCTTCGGCTTGTTTCAAGATAGAAATCCTAGTTATTCCTGCTCATACGCAGCTAAAATTGCTAAGCGTTGAGTTGTCGCATCTTGATCCAATTCGAGCATTGGAAGATCGCGTGACGAATACAGCCCGCACCATCACTACACACTTTCATTGCGAGTGTGTCAGGAAGGGATATTCCTTCCTGTTGATCCAAGGGCGACCACCGCCTCTGGTGTCCATATTATCCATGGATGAATCCATCGAAGTAGTCGGCGTTGGAGTGACTACTAATGCTACCAAGTATAACGGGAATTGCCTGTCCGTATCCACGCGCTTACTGAGGAAGTCTTTGATTGGTTAACACGCATCGCTACGTGTTGACCACTTCAAGCGAGCCGTTGATATACGCGAAGGAGAAGGAAAAGGTGGAGTGACATTTATTATGGCCCATAGGCCCTAAACTATTTCTAAACTGATAAATACCTCCAATTCTGATGGATCAGAATTGTGTATATACAAGTATGTAATATATATACAGCTGATGTAAACACACATGACTATGTGGTTCACATATTTTTGTGATGGGACTGAATTCATCACGACACGCCAATACTAGAGGCCGGTGTTACACATGCTGTGGCTTATAAGATAGTATTGTGTGCAATAATCTTCCTACACATACAATGTCGGTGGCCTGTATGACCAAATTGTGGTCACGCTATATTGAATCGTTTACACGGTCGTAGCAAATAAAAGTTTAAGTCAAACTCTATCAATTAAGCTAATGCAAACACATCAGGTATTCTATGTGATCTTGCTGAAACCATACCACGATCTCGCACTAGCGAACCAGTCGGACGCTTTTTGCAGACAAAAATCCGTCTTGATCACGCACCCAAGGAGCTGAGCTGCTTTATGCTTTAAAGCAGCGACGCGATTCTGAACCGCTGTGAGCGCTTTGAGTCAGCAGTGCGGTGAGAAATTCAGTGATCTAAGAGCTCAGCTTGGAGAAGAGAGGGAGAGAGACGCACGCCTTGAATCTTGGGGAGACTTCATATGCCACATGCCCAAGAGAGCACATCAGAGCCAGCCGCGAGAGAGTTGACCTTCGCTGGCACGTCTCGATAAGC